AAAGTAGTCAGTTGCAGTTGACCTGACCTTTGGACACCACAGTCTGCACAGCAGTGTCCTCCTAATGGCTTATCGTTAGGCAGTCTTACAGAAAATCTATGCAACCCTTGGTGATGACAGAAACAACTACTACAAGGACTGGAGAGACCTAATTGATGACTGAGGTATGAGAACCCATGGTGGCCATGTACCTCCTGCTGACAGAGACTACGGTACCTCCACATGATAACCAACATGGACCAGAACTACAGCAGTAAAACCATAGCGACCGGAGAGGGGTCTCGTTGATTACCAAGGTAGGGGGCCGGATGGTGGCCGTACACCTACTGATGACCGAGGCAGAGTACCTCTGGGTCATGCTACCACATGACCAGAACAATCGATAACACCTATGCTAGGTGGGTATACCCAGGCTGCTCTGGGAGGTGTCATAGGCTAGACCTTGGCCGGGGGGGGGGGCGCATTACACACTGCCTGTGACATCTAGGGTGTGCACGATTAGATCCATACACTGGGGAGCCTGGGTAAGTTTGGGGGGCATTAATGGTCTACAATGGGGCCTGTGGAGAGAATCGTTACGCCTAGCGCCTGAAGTTCCTGTATGACAGAGCTCATTTGAGCATGCGTCAACCAGGGCTGGGCTGATTGGGGTTCTTGCTCAGCCCTGATGCCTAAAACCACTGCCCGGTCAGGTCACCCTGCCCAGATGGTAGAAGGGTGATGCTCCCGAGTGGTAGACACTGAGGTAGGACTTGGTGAGTGGACGTGCCACAGGGAAAATTGACGAGAGGAGGGTGGGTGGGATCTCATAACAGGTAAAGAACYCCCCCCCCCCCCTCCCAAGAAAAAAAAGTTTTCTGAAGAAGAAAAAAACAAAAGAAACAAAAGCTACAAACATGATTTTGCACAAAATCGAATGAGCTAGGGGTGTCTAGGCTACACTTGGTCTCAGATACCCAGTAAATGAACTCAAAACCTGCTGCGTACACCCTTGTTACTTCTTTTTTTAACCAAAAAAAAAAAGAATGAGCTGGGATGACTTACCAACCTGCTTGATGGAGTTCTGTCTTTTATTTTTTTCCAAAGAGGAAAGGGCGACGGCCTTGAGAATATCATTGCCAAGCTGAGCAGCCCCAGGTAATTCAGGTGTTTCATTCATCTGATCCATCTGGATCCAAACTCAGGTCTACATCTGATCCATCTGGATCTGAACTCAGGTCTTTGTTTCAATGTTGCTACAGATGTCTGGGTGCATTCTGACAGATCTATCTACAGCAATACATGGCGAGATCCATGTCCCCCCTACAGCATTAATTACTCCCCCTTCGGATTCTGATAGGGCTATAGCATTAATTACTCCATGTACTGCATTGATTAGCACTTTTTTACTTATTTCTGGACGGAATTGCGGCCAGATGCATACAGGTTTGGCCGGAAATGCATTGAGATACTGGTCATTGTGCCGCCCTGCTGGTTGCCTTGTTGTCTGGCTGCAATGTGCCTCGCTGCCTTGTGCCTTGCTGCCTTACCACATTGCCTTCTTGCCTTGCTGCCTGCTTCTCATTGGGTCGCATACTGCTGCTTCCGTTGTATGTTTGGCTGCCTACTGCTCATCATGCTGCCATGCTGCTTGCCTTGCCATTCGTTGGCTCTCCTTTCTTTCTCTCTCCATTGTTTGTCATCATGTTCACGCCATTGTTTGTCATCATGTTCAGTCTGTCTTTGTTATATTCCTCTTTCCCTCTCTGTGTTGTGTTCAGAGACCTGCCATCTATGTACCTTGAGGTCTGCCAAATAAATTGGCAGTTCTTGATGCAAGTGCCTTGTGGTGGGGTGGGTGGGTGGGTGGGTGGGGTGGGGTGGGGTCAGTAGATTAAGAACGTAGATTACTTGTAGCTAAATATGAGTTAAGGCTCTTAAGAGTTAAAAGTTAAACTCTAAAATGCATACGATATAAAGCGATTTGTCAAGATAAAGCTCTTTGTAACCATAAGAATTATAAATATAATACTTTGAAAGTAGCCAAATTAACAAACATAGTTCCATTTAAACCACTAGTACCTTTGTCGGTTCGAAAATACTCGGCCTCCGACCTTTCAGGAGGCCGAAACGAAACGACGGCCGCCGATCAGATTTATCAACAGCAGCCATTGTCGGGCTCGGCCTCCTGAAAGTTCGGAGGTAGACCAAAACTTGTCAAAAATAGGCTTGGAGATACTAGTGGATTAATACAAAAAACAAAAAAAAAAAAAAAAAMAAAAAAAAAAACAAAACAAAAAAAAAACATGATGTGCCCATGCTGCCAATGAGTGTCTCCTGGTGATGACAGAGATTTATCTTCCAGTCACTCCCCGGATTCTGAGGGTGGGGTGAACCTACAGTCTCCATAATTTTTGCGTTTGAGTCTAGACTGCAGGATTGAGATATATGGTTCACAAATTTCTTGTACGATTCAGTCCTGGCACTCACTCCGCTTGCCAGAGCAGACGTTTGGTGTGTGATCCATCGCCAGAGCCACGTGGTTTAGGGCGCCGCATTGACTCTTCGCTCCCCAAACTCACGTGATAGCATCCCGTTTGTAATTTACAAACACGTGTGGTATTGTCAGGTCCAGGCGCCTGACATGAATAGGTCATAGTCCATGTCTTACAGCCTCCACGATTATACTTTTTGATATACATAAGTGATGCCCCACTGTGGTGTGCGACGTGCATGCTAGTAGCGGGCTGCCTGCCTTGCTTGCCGAACTATTTATCTGCTCGCTTTCTTACCCTGTAGATGCTCGCTTGGTTGCCTTGCTGCCTTGCTGCTTGCCTCGCTGCCCACCTCCCTGCTTGTTTATAACTCTGTGCTTGCCTCGGTGCCTTCCCCATCTGCCCACCCTCTGCTTTACTGTTGCCTCCTTTCTCTTGCTGCTTGTGTTGTCTTGCTGCTTGTTTTCTCACCTGCCCGGCCGTCCACTTGCAATAGAGGCCGCAGTAGACTAGAAACTCAAAGCATGAAGAATATGGGGATTCTGCAGACTGTCGAGAGTCCCGCCTCCTAGTGAGTTGGTTAAGAGTCTTGAATCAACAGTCAGTCATAATCCTTGCTCTTTTTTCCGTCCCTCGGTTTGCAACAAGGGAACCATTTCTGTCTGTTCGAACACTTTATTTGAAGCTCTGTTATCTTGGTGGTTTTCCTTATGATGCTATTTCAGACCATGCATTGATGCACCAAGTGCAGATATGCGTCCATGTTCTTGTGTAGTCACAGCATGCTGGACTAGAAGTGAAGAGGTTTCACAACATCCGGAACACACACACACAAACACACACACACACACACACACACACACACACACACACACACACACACACACACACACACACACNCACACACACACACACACACACACACACACACTGTGACACACACACACACACACATGACAGTCAATACTGCACTCATGTACAGCACCCTGATGCAGCAACTGTAACATCTGTCAAAGCCACGTAGCCTGTAACATCTGTCAAAGCCGTGCCATTCGATGCAGCAACTGCGACTGCGAGAATTGGATGCAGTTCTTCCACAGTCCACACCCGAACCCGTCCTGTCCGGTCTGTAGGGGTGGCTACTTACCATAGGCGATGGCTGCTCCTCAATTCAAAATCTTGTATGCAACCCAAACACTGACTGGCCTCTCATGTGCCATTCTAAACCTCCTATTTCCTTCCTCCCTTCTTCCTCTTGTGTACCACTACCGTCTTCACCCGAATAGAACGCCCAGTCATTATTGCTGTATTTGGCAAACGATAATGACTGGGCGTTCTATTCGGGTGAAGACGGTAGTGAATGCAAAGTTGCAAATGAATGACCATCATTAAGAGAACAGACACAATATAAGCTGAAGATCTGAGAAAAAATGAGCAGCAATATACCTCCTCCGCCTTTACTCTGCCTCCTTTCATAGTGTGCAAGTGGGCCATTATGGTACACGGCGATGTGGACAGCTCGTGCTGCACCACAATCAGCGTGGCGAGCCTTGTACATGAGAGGCACAGTAAAAGCGGAGTTGCCGAACAAATGAAACGGGTACCCCAAAAAGCCAAACTGAACACGGTTAAGAAAGGGCTTTGAAATTTGAAATTTTAAATGCTTCTATTATTGTGTTCCCCTTGTTGCTTGCTATAGAGGTAAGACTGTTTCATTGTCGGATTGTCGACTCAAAGTGTTTTCGTTGTCTGTAATAGGACTAAAGCTGCTTCAATTTTGGACCTACTCGTCCGCGGGTGGAATAGGGACTGTTGTGGTGAAAATTCAAAACACATACACAGAACACACACACACACACACACACACACACACACACACAAATGCACACACATGCACACACATACACACACATGCACGCACACACACGCACAAGCTTTCTAGATTCAAGAAGAAGGAGGAGGAGGAGGAGAAGGAGAAGAAGAAAAAGAAGCAATAATGGTAGAAGGACAGCTCTAATCTCTCTCTATCTCTCTCTCTCTCTCTCTCTCTCTCTCTCTCTCTCTCTCTCTCTCTCTC